AGATAGATAGATAGATAGATAGATAGATAGATAGATAGATCAAAAAACTAAGAAATTCTAAAGACTTAAAGGAAAATAAACAGTGTGATCCTTATTTATTTATGCAAACGGAGGATATAAAAATGTTAGGAGGGCTTTGTTCTGCAGGCCAGTCAATGGATTTGAGGCATTTTAAGATGCTTGTAATCCCTAAATTAAACTTTCCTTTTAGTTTCAGCTCCGTTTGCCGGCCTCTTCCAAACGTCTTGGCCGGATTCTGCTCAATTGGATTCAAAGCCATTAGCGTCCCAACTCAAAGCATATGCTCCGAGCTGCTGAGCATTTCATTTCACGAGACGACGACAAGAGGGCTGACAGAGAGGAAGGAGTGGGGGGGGTAGTGGGGTGGAGGGGGGTAGTGGGGGGGCAGAAAAATAAACCAGACTGGAACAGGGCTGGACTGAGTCCGCCGCCCGCTCGCAGACAGAGACGGAGACGTCCCATGCTCCGAAAAGAGCCCGCTGCCACTTCAGGGTCACGTTCCAGAGCATTAGCCCGCCACTGTGTGTGTGTGTGTGTGTGTGTGTGAGTGTGTGTGTAAGTGTGTGTGCGCGCGCTCCACATGCGTGCTTTCATTTGCGGTTCAGAGAGCGATACCCTCTACACAAAAGGCCCCGCTGTACCCCGTCTGAGAAATCTCAATATTCTGTCAAAGAGGGGGAAAACATTAGAGGTGGGATTGTATTTCAAACAGTATTTCAACCCCCCCACGTCCCCCACCACCACCATCCACCCACACACACACACACACACGCTCAAACACACACACACCACGGCTTTTTTTCCCCTCCCGCTGCTGTCAGAATTTTTTTATTTACCTCCGAATGCTGTGAACGTAGAGAGCAACCACGAGCAAGTCGGATCATTATCTCCCAAATCTAAACAAGCCTTTGCTTTTCTAGAACAGAGCCGGTATTCTATAAGCACTCAAACACGGCGGGGTGAGGGGGGGGGGATGGGCTCAAACAAGGGTGTGTGTGTGTGTGTGTGTGTGTGTGTGTGTGAGCTCGCTGGGTTCCCCGTCTGAGGCGGAGAATGACAGGCTAAAACACTGCAGGCTCTGTGGAAGCCAGGAAACAGTCTAATGTATTTATCCAAACACATATCTGCTGTGAGCCGCTGCCCCCCCCCCCTCACTCTCCTCTCCTCCTCAGACTGGGACTTCACCTCTGAAAAACTACCGCCAGGAGAGCGGAGGGCGCCGCAGCAGCAGATAAGCTCTGGGGCTCTTTGTTCACCGCTTCAGGAAACGTAGCCGCGTCTCTTCACGGTTCTCACGTTTTACTGTCCGCCTCTTTAATCAGACTCCTGCTGTCCACTCGTTTAAAGACATCCTTTCCCCCCTTCGTTCAGACGCCATCATCCACCGTCTGCTTTTATTTGCTGTGCGATAAAAAAAAGCCGTCCACTTTTAGTAACTAACGTTAAAAAAAAAAAAAAAATTAAGTTTCCCACCGCATGTTAGAGTTTGCCCTCTGCTAAAGAAAAAAAAAGAAAAAAAAGAGGGCCCAGATCCACCACGCGGAGAAAAAATACACTTTAGCAAAGCCAGAAAAAGCCCGGCTGTGCGTTGTGTGACTTTTTCCTCTGCGTGTGATTCACACTGAGGACCTTTGTCAGCCTTTAGGACACAAAAAAAAAAAATAAAAATAAAAAATAAAAGCTCATAGAGGACAGAAAGCAAAAGGTGACGAGTCCTTTTCTGCTCTGGAAAAGCTGAGGAATCCCACAACAACACGCCGGCACTATGGTGTGAAGGTGTCCGACGCTAAGAGGACGGTAAGAGTCCAATTTAGCCGTTTCCACCACATCCCGCTCGTCTTCGAGCCGGGAAGCGAAACACCAGGGTTGGAAATTCGTAGGAATTTTGTATTAGCCAGCAGGGCTAACAGCTCTGAAAAGTTGTTACCAAAAGCAGCCCGATTGGTTTTATTGTGTCACGTGGGCTCCAGCAGACTAAATTTGAATATTTCTTCATATCCTCGTGGACCCAAACTGGTCCAAAACAATCCAGAACTAACCCAAACTAACCCAAAATTAACACAAACTGGTCCAAAAGGGGGCTTAACTGATCCAAAACTGGTCCAAAGCCTCCCCAAACTGACCCAAAATAGGCCAAAAGATAACATGGCGGGAATTTCGTGACGATGAATTTCAAACTAATGTGTTTTCTTTTTTTTTTTTGTTGATTCTCTGTTTATTTTGCATGCATTTGATATAAACACTCCATTTGCCAACCCGTCCTACCCCACGGAGCTGAGCGCACGACGGGCTAACGGCTTTTGATTTTCTCACGCCGGACAATAAAGGTCTATCGGTCATTTCCAACCCTGGAAACACCGACTCTCCCCCTTCAAAAGGTCTGCACACACCGTATTCTGCACCTGGTTTCAGCTCGGGCTCAAACCCTAAAGGCCTCATGCCGACGGGCTTTGGCTGTGCGTCTGCATGGTGTGTGAGTGTGTGTGTATGTGTGTGTGGGGGGTCTTTCTCCAGTGTAAACTCTGCTGAACTTTGCTCTTAAAAGTGGCTCTGACCTCCACAGTTTAACACCAACGGGGGACTCACAAATGGCTGGTTGGTGCTTCAGGTCTTCCTCTGACAGGGCTCTCACATTATCAGCAGATGAGCCGCTTCTTTTTCTCCTTTTGGACGAATTGTTGGAAAAAGATGGCGGCAGAGAGTGTTTCTTTCAGAGGCTCCGGCCGGAGCTGCAAGACGCTGAGGGACTGACAGGACTGACAGGAGTCGTTTGTTTTAATCTCTGCGAGACAGCTAGCGGCTCGCTCTCTGCCCTGCTGAGAGCGGCCAAACACCAACAGAGAGCCCAACCGCGTCAGGACGGTTCTGATCCATCCCAGCCCACCAGACGCAAAAAAAGCCCTTTTTTCTGACTGGTGACAGCAGTTTGTGGACCCGAGCGTCAGCATTCTTTTAATGAAAAGGGGAATATTTTCAATGGCTTTGATTTTAACCTAGTTTTAGCAAATTTAGGCACGTTTAAAAAGTCATTATAAAGGTTTTAATTTGTCCAAAAAAAAAATGGAGAAACACACACAGAAAGAGTAAAGTGGGTAACTATCCAAACGGAAGCCGTAAGTCACTTTCAAAACATAAAAAATCTGCACATTAAAGAGCAAAAAAGCTCCAAATAAGTCGATAACAAACCACTCACAGAAGCTCAAGCTCGCACCGACAATGCAGACACACGGCGAGCAGCAGCTCAGCGTTATAACGTCCACCAATGAGGAAACACGCGCGGGTCTGACCGGCCAACCAGAGGCCGAGCGGGAAGAACCAGAAAAACGCACGGCGGCGACAGCCAACAGCAAAAAAAGCACAATAAACATCCCAAAAAGTCATCTCAAATGTTCCCGTTTTAGTCCGAAAAGCCCTCCGTGGGATCTCTGAGCTGCAGCCAATTAAATCAAAGCTTGAACAAACACTTAGAAAGAAAGAGGGCTCTGATTGGCCCCCCGCTGAATCTATTTCTACCCATCTGATTTTGTTTAAATCAGACGGGAAGGCGAGGAGTTCTGTTTTTCTTTTAGGTGTACAGGTGTTTGACGGGGGTGGGGGCACTTACATGTGGACGTGTGGAGGTTGGAAGCGGCTCTGGTTGATGTTGTAGTGCGTGAAGGCCTGCGTGGGGTTGGAGCTGTACTCGTCCACCGTGATGGTCACTTTGCCATGAGCCATGCTCCCGCCGTTTGGACATGAGACGCCGTTCATTCACCGGGATTCAGCAGCGAGCTGGGCGGCGGTCATCCTCCAGAGCCGCTCAAGAACCCCCGGAAGTCTCCCAGCAGCGGCGGGGGGGGGGGGCGGGGGGGGGGGGGGGGGCGGCGGCGGACCCGACCGACCGACTCGACCACGACTCACTGCAGACCGCTGCAGAACCTGCACAGAGAGACACACACACACACACACTCAGACCTGCCACAGAAAAACCAGCAGAAACCCTCCCAGAATACACTCGATTTTTTCATTTTTACACACAGAATTTTTTTTAAATGAGAGAAAAAGTTGCTAATTTGGTGCCAAAAAAGCACAATTTACAGCAGCTTAACTTCAAAAAGCAAAAACAGACTAAATTCCGCAGTGTTAAAAATTCATCACAACTCAGACAAAAAACATTTTCAATTAAAAATCTGAAAAAGAAATTGGGCAGAATAAGTTTGCATATAACTTTCCTTAAAAAAAGCTAAAATTAAATGTGAAAAAAAGAAAAAAAATCCTATCTTTTAGAATTGTAATAGATTCTGATTTCTTTCTTTTTTTTCAAACAAAAGACGCCAGCTGGTCGAACCGAAAACTCACCAGGCGACAAACTAAATCTCTGCTCCTGACTAACTGTTGCAAAGCCTTCAATAAAACACTAAATTATTCACAGCGCAGACATGAAAGCTCGGCCTCCCCGCTCACAATCATCCTGCATGACAAAAAGGAATCAAACGCCGCGTTTCTCCCGGCCTCCTGCTCCACATCCCGGGATCTCCGGCCCGGATCGGATCCGCTCGGATCGGGAGGAGGAAAAAGAGAGGAGGACTGCTGGCATCACTCACCCGGCTCTGCTGAGGCTCCCTCCTCTCTGACCCCCCTGACCGATAGTAAAGTGATGGCCGTGGGCTTCGAGAGGCGTTTTATACCCGACCAGAGAGTATAAAACTAAAAAAATAATGCCCTAAATTTAACAAAGCTGCCATCTCTTTTGGAGGGAAATCTACAGTCCACGGTTAAATCCTGGGCTGTGCTGATAGAAAAACTACCCCCAATGTCAACTCAAACCTGCCCTATTTTAATGGAACGCATAGATTTGGCTTTTCTGGGTCAGCCGGATGCTGCTTTCCCATTAACTGAAGTCAAAAAGATTCATCTCAGCTTTGCTCCAGTTCAAAATAAAAAACAAAAGACATACAGTGCAAGCATCCTCCAATTAATCCTCGTTGCACACGTATGAAGTTTCCAAACCCCTCCAGGGGCCTTGAAAGAAATTAATTTCGCTTGGGGAGAAAAAAAAAACAAACTGTCCAGTGTGGAAAAAAAGCCTCACACACTTTTTAAACCTGAGCAGAGAGCCTAAAAAAGCCGCCCCTCTGCGGCTCCAGGGGCTCAGGAAAGCAGCCTGTTCGCGGTCCTGAACGGAGGCCAGTGTGCGGCATGCCTCACAGCCTCCGCGGTGTGTGCGCCGGGGCGCGCGTGCGTGCGCGTGCGCGTGCCGCGCAGCTGAAACTCGCCCGTGCTCGCGTGTCTGCCTCTGCCTCACGGCTACGGTAGCCGCCACTAGCTCGGTAGCTTAGCCTGCTAAAAACCTGCGCCGGTAGCCGGGGTTTTGCTTTCCCTTTTTCCCCCCCGTTTCTCAGCACGCGCGTCGTCGCTAAGCGTCGCGCGGCTTTTTTTATCCCGCGGCGGCACGTGCACACAAGCCGCCAGCCGGGTCGGCGGATACACACAAGGGGCGCGTGAACACCAGCACACGGCTAACTTCACTTGAGGTGGGGGGGGTGGGGGGGTAGGGGGGGGAGTGAGGGGGGGGCGAATAAATTGACCCCGTCTCATACCATGCTTATGCACGAGAAGTGCAACGCGCCGCTTACTGTTAACGGTGCACAAAAAGAAAGCTCCGGTCAAACCCCGAACTCTGTTCTTTAAATCGTTAAAAAGAAAACCCCCCCCCGGAGGTGGTCAGTGTCAAAGCGCCGCGCGCTAACCTCTTGCTCTTCCTCGTAAATGACAAGCCACCTTTAAAACGACGGCTTTGTGTCAGGAATTTTCTTTTTCCTTTTTTCTCTCTCTCCTCCCCGTGTCCCCTCCCTCGCGCTCCGGCTTTCAAAGCAAAGCGGAAAGGTTGCTCTACCTTCGTCGTGTGGGTTTTTCTTCCTCTCCCTCTCTCTCTCTCTCGCTCTCTTTTTTTTTTTCTTCCTCTAATGCGTGCTGTATCTGCCCGGAGGAAGAGCGTCGGGTCGGGGTCGCCCTCTCTACGAAACGGCGGCGGCGGAAGAGCAGGCGGCGGAGGGACGCGGCTCCATATGCGGCAGCGGCCGGCCAGGAGAGCGGGGAGGCTGGCGGGCGGCAGTCCGGGGGCTGCGGCGGTCTGGGCGGGCAGGGGCAGAACCTTCGACCCGGCGGGACCTCGGCTGGCTCCTGTAGAAAGAAAAAGCCACACAAGGAGGAGATGGTGGGGTAGCGCGCCGGAGAGGAGGGCGAGAGACACTGACAGACGGGGAGGAGAGAGAGAGAGAGAGAGAGGGGGGGGGGGGGAGAAAGAGAGATAGAGAGAGAGGGGGAGAGAGAGTAGGCTCGGTCTGTCGGAGGGGGAGCCGGAGTGCAGTGAATTGGAGCTGCCACTGGGGTCAGAGAGCAGCGAGAGCAGGAGCGAGCACAACCCCCCGCCACCTCCCGTGCGCGTGCCCTAACCGGCGGGCACACGCGCTATCGGGCGCGAGAGGGAGCGAGAGAGACATAGACAGAGAGTTAGAGAGAGAGAGGGAGGGAGGAGGAGGGAGCTCGCGCAGTCCCTCTTTACCTCCGTGGTGCGTTCACTGGCCGTCGGAAAAGCCAGCACCAGCCGGATTGAGACTCGGAGTCCTTCACAGCGGCCGGCGGTGACCTCCTCCATTTCGTCTTTTCTTTAACTATTTCTCTGACCTCGATGGAAAATGTCACGACAGGAGGAAAAACGAAAACAGGGCGCACTTTAATGCGAGTCTAAAGCCCTGAAACTGCTTCTGTTCAATGCATAAAGCAAAAAGGGCTTTCCATGTTTTACATTTGACGGCCTCATCTCATTTCTAGAATATCAGAGATCCCATCAGGGTATAAATTCAGACTCAAGGATTGTGATTTGAATAGTAAATGAGTGTATTTAGCTTTATATTGTTGTTGAAGGCTGCTTGCTCTCCCTGCCGTTGCTTATCTACGTGAATTAGTGCGACTGGATGGAAATAAATGAATCTTCGAAAGTGAAAGTGCCTCCCGTGGAAAACTGTTTGCCGGCTTGTTGTCTTAAATTATGCTTTCTATGCAAAACACTACACTGAAACAGACATTGGAGTGCCTTTCCTCCACATTTAGATAATTCAAACGGCTCAAAGACGCTGCTCATAATAGTTCATAACAAACTATACTACCAGACCCGAGAGACTCAACTACATGGGGCAAAAATCATTATAGAGGGAGCTAACCTGAAATATATATTAGCTATGCACACACGGCACTATCCAGGTCTTGGCCCACTATCTATTTATTCATAAATTTCCTTGAATAAACAGTTTTCCCAGCTGATTGTTGATACATTTTCAGTCCTTATAGACGAATACGGTCATATACATTTTTTACTATCGGTGCTGGGCCTCACTGATCTTTTAATATATTCAAAGATAAAGCTAGACTTTAGCTTAAGAGATGAACCGGAGCTGTACACACACACAACAGAAAACTCAGCAAAACAACCATTTCAAATGGATTTGGAGCCATTTCGGTGTAAGCACTGTCCCAGACACGTCGTTTATTCCAATTTGCTTTATTTAATCTGTGAAAAATGTCACAGATAACCGAGTTTGACAGACATCAAATTGTAATTTTTTTCAGCAACAAGCTGATTCCCAAAGAGATAATAGCTAAAAAACATGGCATATCTCAGCACGGTGTGCACCGCGTTCTCAAAACATTTGAGGAAACTGGACAAAAGAAGAAGTGTCGGGCCTAAAAAACTCTTTCCAGCAGATAAAGTGGGTCTGAAAGTGATGTCCTAAAGAAAGAGGAGCAAATCCAAAGACCTGACACAGGAGCTAAGAGATGCACATGGAAAAATAGCCATAAATAACAATGAGAGAGCAGTTTCCAAACTCAAGATAAGACTAAAATTTGCACAAATAATAATAACAACAAGCAGCTGAATTGTCCTCTTTGCCAAGTACATCCTGAATAAATTAAACCTTTCAGGTTGGGGTCTAATGAAAGACTTTTTCCTTTTTATTTGTGTTAGCTCCATTTACTAAAATATGCCCAACACAGACTTAAGTTATTTATGTTTCGGCCTGATGTTTAACATTTAATTAATACTCGTTAATATTAACCTGTGGTGACTGTATTTAACAGAGATGTTGCCAGTTAGCTTATTTTCTGGTCACAATAATGTATAAATGTAGTAACAGATATAAGTGAAGACATTTGTTAGCAATAACTGATCAAATTTCAACAAATGATTTGTATTTGGTTCTAATAGCTTGGCCTTTTCAAAGAGTGTCCAAGTGGTAAAAAATGAGTTGGGTTTTATTCATGTGTGATTAATAAGTGTTTGGGTTCCAAGTTACTTTTGAAATAACTTAGTTTCGTGAGCTTATGGGTTATTTATGAGCAATTAAACTGGCGCATTCTTTGTTTTAGTGATGAATTGTGGCACCGACTACAATGCAGCTTTCATAAATATTTTATTAGATAAATGCGCATGACCCGTATGTTGCCGCATTCTCTAAAATGAATGTCTCCATACCTTATTTGCTAATACGTATAAATCATGAATCGGCTCATATAAATATGTAGGTTTCCTTGTTTTTGTGTCCATTTCACCAAAACCTGTCAAAGCGATACTTCCTCCAAAGGCCCATTTGATCATTTTGCTCCACCCTCTGAAAGAGAAGGTGCACCAGCATAGCTTGTTACCATAAATAGCCTCGATAAAAAATGATTATTGATAAGATCTGAGTCACTAAAAGAAGGAGGCTCCCCAG